TATCCATGGAAAGATAATGCATTTGCTGTATAGGTAACCCAAAGAATGATTCATTAAAAGAAGGCACAGATATATTTTGTCCATTCATAATTCTTCCCAGATATAGTTCCCTTTTTGGGTAAAATGTTGAAAGAACTCATCTACAATTCTTTCTGACTCTCTCACAGACAAAGTCATGGAGGAAAAATAAAACCTAAAGCCCCTCCTCAACTTTTTAAAAAATAAATCCGCCATCAAGTGTAGGTGCTGTATAAGCACACAGACTTATTATCACCCTAAGGAAAAAATAACATAATCAAAGCAAAATCAATTTTTACCTCATAAACTTAAGTATGGAAGTCCTAGATGATAAAAATTAAATTATCAAATAATTTAAAAAATTAAATAAATGTAGCAATGGATCTTTTTACAATTAAATAGGACCAAACATAATATTCTGAAAGCAAAATATATCAGTGATAACAGTAGAGGCAACATTATATTTGCAGCAGTCAACTGGTTCCTTTATGGGTGTGTCATTGTCAACTGAGAATATATATATATATATATATATATATATATGTATGTATGTATGTATGTATACTTTAAGAATATTGAGAAAAGAGATGTATGTAATGAAAACTTCAAGATGAACTATTATTAAGTATGCTTATTTCATTTACTTAAGAGTAAGGTATATTTATAATGTTGGAAAGATCCACCTCCGACTTCAATTTTGTGAGATTTCACCAATGTTCAATCAGGCCTATGTCCTTAACTTAAATGACCAAAATCTGACATAAAAACTATTAAATTCTAAAATTCAGCAAACTATCAGCTTTCACAGCTACTTAAAGATTATGGTGTGGCTTTTTGTATTTTTTTTCCCTCTGAAAACAAGTGTTATCTACATATTTGAAAAACTGTTACAAGATATTTGTAAGTTCATCATGGGTTCTTTTCTAAAGAACATGCTGATGAAATAGTACACTAACTTAAGAGTTCATCCCAACATTAATAATATTATAGTTACTATGGAACACTAGTTTTGAACAAGTTCTGCATATTAATGCAATTTGTGCTCTGGATATACATGAGAACATCCTGAGTTTCAGTGACTACATAACAGGAAAACAGTGCCATAGAAACAGTGGAGGACAGCTGGTGGAGGAAAATTTCCTTAGCCTACATGATCTTATGTAAGGTTTTATCCTTATTTTCTGTTTTATGTCTATTTTATGTTAAAGTAATTTATATCTGGTATGTTCTGAATGTCAACATTATATCTATGACAATGTCAGTATTATATCTATGATTTGCAGCCTTTCAAAAATGTTTTAGAAAATATTTTCATATCATAATGCCAAGAAAATCAGATACAGGTTGTACTTATTTATAAATAAGTGGTCTATTTGTTTGCACTTGAAAATGCTCCCTAAATTATTGCAATAATCACAGTGTGTTAAATAATTATAAACATGTTTCTGTGTGCTTTTATCTCTTATTTTTGTATTTCTTCTTTTGCACCCTGAGAGTAGGCTCATCTCTAATTCAGCTTGGTGTCCAGAAAGTGCCTAGCATAGATCTCTCCTGAACAGAATAATTTCAATAAACATTTTTATATGTATATCTAGACAAACTTCTGAAAAGTATTCTATATAAAGAATCTGTTTTCTCTTTTAAACAGGTATCAGTCATGATTGGCTTTATTTCCCAAATTCTGAAGATGAATGAACCAGTCTAGTGTGATTACAATTTTTCCTTCTGCTTGGTGTTCACTGAAATTGAATTTGTGGGCTTGTATTTTTATTAAATTTGATGCCATTCCAGTCATTACTTCTTCAAATCTCCCTTACCTCCTTTAATACAGATTCTTTCTCAGTACTAAGACTAAACTGTTCTGAGGACTAAAACCAAAAGTTTTCAAAGGTCTTTCCATTATGGCTGGTAGAAACAAGCTCTCTTTCTATGCAGGTGGGAGCTTTGGGAATTGTGTTGTTCTTTTTTTTTTAAATCATTTACTTTATTGTTATTATAGAGGTGATGTACAGAGGGATTATAATTACATGAGTCAGGTTTTTGTCTTTGCAGTAGGTCCTTTAGCATGATAATATTAACTTGATGAAGTTACTGAGACTTCCTATAAATAATCCTGTATAACAAAATATTTCCGTTCTCTAGTTGTATGCTGGAAAACTTCAATTAACCAGCACTGAAGTAGCCAATATTCCATTTTTTTAAAGTTACCAATCAGCAAAACAAGATATAAGTGATTGCTAAAAATAAATTTATATCAATTATACATTAGCCAAAAACATTTTGATTTCATCATGCTTCTAAATGATTAATCATATTTTCAACAATAACTTCAAAGTACAAAAAAGACCATATTAGAAAAAAAATCTTGAATTTAATAAAAAAGGGAAAATATATTAGAAAACGTAGAAATCAAGAATGGAGACAAAAAATGACTTCTGATTAGTTAGAAAAAAGTATTCGAGTAACATAATGAACATAAGCTGTTTTAAACATTTCATTTGGACATATCTTACTAAGAAAGCATCAATACACTAAAGCATAAACCAGAGCCATCAACCTCACCATCACTCCCACAAGGAAAAATGGTCTCTACAGGATCAATGGGGAAACTGAATTAGATGGCTGAAGAAATTTAACAGTCTCCATGAGAATGTCCAGTTTACCATAAATGAAGTGACACTCCTTTTCCCTAGCAATAGATTGGAAAAATCATAAAACGTTTAGCAAGTTCAAATGTTCTGGCAACACCCGCCCCCAATCCTGGCTCAACCACTCCCTAGTTCCTTCCATCTGTGGCAGTTTGGCGACTAACCTCCTCTCTTTCTGTTCTTTCCTTATCCTGCTTAAGCCTCCTCACCCATGTTTGAGAATTTCCCCAGACCACTTCATTTCTACTAGTTTCTAATCCAGCTTTAGTCTAATGGAGTATACTGGCTTATCAGTCATTATACATCAATCATTACACATATGCTAATTAGAAGCCTTTAATAAGATATGAGAACTTAAAGGAAAAAGAAACCCATGGACATGCCAATGTATGCTATGAGTATATGACTACTTTGACTTTTTTATGACACCCCATAAAATAACTTTGAAATTAAAAATGTATCAGGTAAAGTGAATAATTTGTGTGTGTGTTTGTGTGCGTGTGTGTGTGTGTGTGTGTGTGTGTGCGCGCGTGCGTGCACGCGCACATATGCCTGTCTGTCCTGGGGCTAGATTCCAGGCCTAGGTGCTGTCTCTGAGCATTTTTTTTGCTCTAAGCTAGCACTCTACCACTTGAGCCCAGCTCTACTTGTAGCTTTTTGGTAGTTTGTTGGAGATAAAAGACTTTTCTGCAGTGGCTGGCTTCAAACTGCAATCCTTGGATCTCAGCCTCCTGAGTAGCTAGGATTATAGGCAGTGCCCAGTACAAATGATTATTTTAGTAGTAGTCTATTTTTAAGGTACTGGAAATCATTGGTTGAATGCATTATTATCTACAAATGGCCACACAGATCACACTAACAGAATTGTGATTAGCCCAATATAAAAACTGGCTAAGTAAACAGGGTCTAAATCTCTGTCTCCATCTTGACCACAGTTTTGTGTTGTTGTTTTTTTAACAAGCTCATAAAAGAAAAACATGGAATAAATGAAAAAGGAAAATAGTAGTAGTGGGAATAGGGGCAAGAACAGGTGATCAGAAATACCTACATTTAGGGGGCTTTTAATGTCTTTGCAACTTTGTAGGAAGAAATAAGACCCTTGCTGAGCACCACACTGTTTTATGCAAACCAGGTGGAGAAAATATACTTACTGACCTCAAACCAAAAGAACAAATCATGGGGCTTGGAAGGTTATTCAGTGGTAGAGTGCTTTCCTTGCATGCGTGAGGCCCTAGGTTCGATTCCTTAGCACCACATAAACAGAAAAAGCTGGAAGTGATGCTGTGGCTCAAGTGGTAGAGCACTAGCCTTGAGCTGAAGAGCTCAAGGACAGCACGCAGGTCCAGAGTTCAAGCCTCATGACCGACCAAAAAAAAAAGAAAAAGAGAAAAAGGAGAAATGATGTATTACTACAAATACTAAGTGTATCTGAGAACATCTTCTAGCTATCACTTAAAGACATTATTCTTACTCTGTTGAGAAGATATTAATTCCTACATGAAATGATGCTAAAATCTATAATTTATTCCTTAACAAGAGTATAAAAATTATCTGGCAAAAAGAGCTTCATGAAGAACTACACATTATATGTATAAATCTAACAGATTTTCTGGGCAGGTCAGTTGAGTAGAATTCAAGTAATATCAGGAAAATTTTATAAGCAGCTTTTCTTAGTAAGACATAAAGAAGGAAAAAACCAGTAGTCAATACAGTGTATCTACCTTGCTCACCTTGACAGGCAAGAAAGCATTTTATTTATTTATTTATTTATTTTTCTGTTGTCTGAGTCCGGGACTTGAACTCAGTATCAGACACTATCATTCATTGGTTGCCTGGCGCTCTACCAACTAAACCATGCATCCAATCCCAAAGAAAGCATTTAAATTTTTTTTGAATCTCAAGAGGCTGGAATTTAGGCTTACATGAATGAGAAAAAAATAACAGAAATGGCCAAACAATTCGATTAAAATGCAATTATCATACTGATGTGCTCATGAATGAGGTTTCAAAATATGTTTCTTAAAGACCATGAAGCACCATGGTCCAAAACCACCAGCTATATTTATTACACTATACTTTCTAAGGTTAGATGATGTACCAATAGATATTATTAACTAATTTTAATTAGCATTAAAAACTAAAGGATTATTTTGCTTTACTTTAATGATCAAGAAGGCATCCAATTCTGTGAATATTTTAATTAGCTGACATTGTAAACCATATATTGAATTCTAAAAGCTCCAATTCTAGCACTTTTTATAAGAAAAGAATGCTATTGTTTAATAGACTGTAACTGTGAACTGCCTGACAAGGCAAAAAGAAGCTTCATGGTACCTTTATGGTTTCAGTTGGCACTCCAGGCTCTGGAACTTTATCCAAGTAAGTGGTCAAATCTTGATCAACATGTTCAAACACTAGTGTTAGTTTGGTCTCTCTGTCTGTTCGTGACACTGTGCATACATCAAACAACCTAGAAGACAAACAAGAGATTAAGTAGGTGGGAATAAGCAAAAAAAGTAACCTAAATGTCTTTCAGATCTATCTCTCAATTTTATTACATAATGGGGAAGGGGAGATGGCACAGGTCACTCATATGTGTGATCATATGTGAAGATACCTAATAAGACCTGATACTTTAATGTGAAAGTTAAGCTGGAGAACATCCTTCACAGCCAAGCCAGAGTCAAATGACTAGAGAATAAGAACCACTGCTTAAGGTAAGACCTTAGGTAGAATGTTGATGGACATAATTTTAACTTGTCGTTGAGAGACAAAATTTGCTTCTTTTTAGATCACAGCTTAAGACATTCTTTAGAGATTCTAGACTCTGTAATGAAGATTTTCTTAGAATTTAAGGGGTCATAACCATGCTTATAAACAAAAGTATTATCAAGTATGGAGAATGAGTTTATTTCTAAGACATTTGACACATTCTGGTGAGTCAAATTAATTCTATGTAAAGAGAAAAAAATTATTAACTCATGTTAACTTTCCAAATATATTAACACTGTAATTTTAGAAAACTTTAAAAATTTTTGATAGCTAGTTGTATATACTTAAGGTATTGCTGAGCTACTATATAGATGGTAACTGAAATAACTAAGGCATTATATATTTCATACTGTTGAGCATAATATATTTCAGAATTGTTGAACATGTACACCTTAAATATTTTTAAATGGAACCATAAAAACTGTTAAGTATTGATATAATAGATTTATTCCTCAGTTAGGTTAAAGCATACTACAATGTAAACATTTATAAAATTTATAAAATTCTTTTTTTGGAGGAAGGGGACAGAAAAAAATCTTTACTGGTACACTATATCATCTTTCAATGATTAAAAATACAGATTAACAGATACTGTACTTAAGTTTGGATCTGTGAAAATTCAGTTTCACCATAAAATCATACAACTAATTCAGGATTTAAGTTCTAGAAACAAAAAACAAAAGCCTTCCGTAGTCAAAATAACCTTCAACCTTAAGGACAAAACATACTTTATGTCTAACCACAATGCAGTATTGGCATAAGAGATTATCACTGAGTATTTGAAGAATTAAACAAAGCAGCCATAAGCAATCTATAGTAAACTTCTGAGAAGAATGTAATATAAATACTGAGAAAGTTAATAAAATGCTAATAAAATGCTGCTCCTGTCTTTTTCATTAAAAAATGGATAAATACCCTCTTCAAAGAAAAGAATTGTGTATGTGCACACAGACCAACTAAACACAGTTCACTCTCACTTCTGGTTTGTGTATTACTTTTATTAATTCTCATTGGTTTTTTGGGCTATATGGACTTCTTGACATTTGGTACTTCCTTATGAATCTAAACTAATTTTAAGATAATCTAAAAAACACTAAACTAAATCTGGTGGGACAAAGAACATAACATATGCAATTTCTATATACACTTCCAGCCACATCCAACTACTGGTCAATTATGGGTAGCTTGGGGTGACTTCTCCAACTTTATTAAATTAACAAAATCAACTTTATTTTTCCTTTATGCGTATCTACTTCCAAATCTTCTGTATTTTACATTTTAATGTCTATTTCTAAGTAATATTTTTCCTTACTGTGTCTTATTTGGAACATTATTCTGATTAGGTTAAAAACATCCATTTAATGGAGTTATTAAAGACAGAGCCATAAAAAAACATACAAATGTATACTACAAAAAGCATTTGGGAAATTTATGAAAACAGATCTTTGAACTTGATAACTGGAGGAAATTTGGAAGTTCATAATTAGCATCAGGGGAAAAAACGTTCCAAGAGTACCTATATAAGCCTCTCTCTCCTTTTTGGTTAACATGTTGGCCATCAATATCCTATAGACCCACTACTTCAGAGAAGACATGTAGACTAAAATATGAATGTTTGTGTGATTTCGTTGCTTAATAAATGCTACTGTAGCAAAAGCTGATAACTACATTAGTCTTAATGGGTAGAAAATAACATTTTAAGCAATTAGTTGCAAATATTAATCTTATAAATTCTACAACGTAATTACTCGTGATCGTTTTTTATTTGACTGCTTCTATAAGATCCCAAATCAAAGAACAGTCGTTTGGTTGATAAAAGATATTTATTTCAATAAGCAGCAAATGAGTTTCACAAATGCCAACTGAGCTAACCAAGAAATGAAATGTCTGGTATTTGGCTAGAGGTTAACAATCTGTAATATATTTATATAAATCAATGAGGAATGTGGCTAGGCTGCCTATAACCCCTACACTTGCAAAACACATGAACCAAACAGGTCTGAACATTTGAACATAAACACAGAAGGTAAGCAACTGCCACCATAAGTTTTCTCTTGTTAATCAACGTTTTATGACTTTCTAAAGTTCTTGGTTTTTAATTTTTTTGGCTAGATATTCAGTAAACCAACAAAAATTCCATTCAATGATTATACTTTGAATGTAATTCCACAAAAATGGAATAATAACCCTATACTGAATATGAATAAAATATCTTTCAGATGACCTTCAGAGGAAAATTATGTTCAGTGTTTACCCATTAGAACTTCACATAACATGATCCAAATAAATGTTCAAAAAATAAGAGGGAAAAATGGTTTTCAGTATTTAAGGTTGTACATCTAGTTTAGCTATATAGTCGCAACTCAAACAAGTCCGATGGACCATTATCATTTCACAACTGAGTCAGCCAAGCCCCTATGTATCCCATAAAGAAAGTTCTCTTGCAGTCTCTATTGTCTTGACCCTCCAGCTGCAGGGCAGAGAACAAGCACTGCGGTCCAGCACAGTTCTCAGTTTTCCAGCTGTCTCAGTGATGTAATTGCCTCATAACAAAACATCTCCCTGAATTAACTCTGCATCCTACCCATTGTAATTCTTAACGACTGCTTCCTGTTCGTGTTCTCAATTTAACTTGTTTGGGATCTATTCCATTGGTCAGTTGACTTCAGCTAATAGATGGGATTACATCCAATTTGTTTGGGATTTCCAAAGCTTACAAATTACTAAACTCTCCCAATCAACATGCTTAGTAAACACAACCCTTGCCTTTCTATTGTGGCTATAATAAAAGAGAAATCTGTATTATTTGTTATGATTACATTTGGATCTGTCACAGGAAGTTCTATGAGGACTTTTTTCCGGTCAGTTTTTTTTTTTTTAAAAGAGCTATCTGGCACAGCTGCCGAAGTGTCATAACAAAATTTTATTTGAACTAGAACCAGTAGTTGGAATTGGGAATATTTTTTTTTCTCTAATCTCCTTGGAAGTCCATAGTAATTCTATAGCTATGGCTTGTGTGCACCAAGTTGTTCATTATGCATTTCACTGAGCCCCACACTACTGGATACTGTCCAGGGTGTTCTCTGTATGTATGAGTAGGGATTGTGTATACATAGCTTCTTCACCAACACTAAATGACATAGTTCCAGAAGTATTTGCCACCAACAATAATGATCATGTTGCTACAAAGTAATCACTATTTTAACAGCACCTAAACTTTACTCAAAATCTATGTGCAGGCACTATGCCCAGTTTTAAGGTTTGCAACAGATGTAAGAAAAGTATTATCTAAAAGAGCTTTTCTATCTGGTCTGGGGTGTGGCTCAAATGGCACAGCTCTTCCTTGGTGCATACTAGCCCCTAGGTTCAATCCTCGGTACTGCCAAAAAAGCAGACAGACGACTTACATGTAAAGCTACAAATAACTATATAAACCTATGAACTAGTACTGAATAAATTATAAACACCAGGTGCCACTGATATATTAAAAGTAAATTCATTTTACCAACAATCACAGCCAATTACAGGTGGTCTTTGATTTTCCAGCAACCATTTACCTTCTGGAAACCATCCTTTTACTTTGTTCTGAATCTTTTATGCCCCACACATGGGAAATGTGGTTGGGGAAACAGAGGCCCAGTAATGGCACATGAGCATCCCTGGCAAGACAGAGGGATGGACAGGATCATGAGAATCCATTTTAGGAATTTTGCTTTAACTCCCAGCAGAATAAAGCTTTCTTTCCAATAGGATTCCCAAACTGGCAAGGCAAAAACATGTGCTGTTAATGGCTGCTGTTGATGTCGTGGTCCCCACTCTAGTGGGGACTCAGTAAAGAATATAGCCAACACAAGGCAGAGCCAGAGGCATGAGAATCTAGATGACCTTGATTAATCATCTGATTCCCTTTGTGCCTGGGCTACCCATTGGATTTATGAATTACTTGAAACAGTGATGTAACATTTTTGCTTACCCAATCTGAATAGGGTTTTCATTGCTTACAACAAAAAATACTCTAAGACATCTATAAATATTTTGAAATGATTAAATGGCTGGCTTAATAGCATTAACATCTGCCCTCAAATAATATCTACTATGACTGACAAAATGAACTAAGTTCAAACACACAATTTAACAGTAATATCTTCAATATGAATGAGTCCTCCCAAGACTGGCTCATCCATCTGCAGGTCCACTGCACAAAAGCACTTGGCAGCAATAGAGAACATAAATCCCTCTTTTCAAAGAAGCCATACAGCTTTCTCCCAGAATTTAGATTTGAAGTTCTTGGTCTGAGGAGAGGGATTTTATGAAGAAAAAGCAGACCATGGAAGATAACAGAGGGATAAGTTCATCATACAGGAATACAGAACCTAAAACAGGAAAGCACTCAAAGGCTAACAGGATGAGGGAAGAAGAAAGATTTTAAAATGATATAATAATGAGCTTGATTTTGTGTGTGTGTGATGGCACTGGAACTTCAACTTAAGGTCTATGCACTGTCCCTTAGCTTTTAACTAGTATTCTACCACTTGAGACATAGCTCCTCTTCTGGCTTTTTGATGGTTAATTAGAGATAAGAGTCTCCTGGACCTTCTTGACTAGGCTGGCTTCCAACTGTGATCTTCAGATCAGAGCCTTCTGAGTAGCTAGGATTATAGGTGTGAGCCACCAGTGCCCTGGATAAGAGTTCAATTA